CTCACCCTTTGGCTCTCACCCTTTGGCTCTCACCCTTTGGCTCATGCCTCTGGCAAAGTGCTGCCTTAAATAGAAGCTTCCCCTCAGCAGAGGGTGTGGCCAGCAGCTATGAAAATTCACCCAGTCACTCACAGTCAAACAATGACCCCTTCACACCCTATCTCAGGCAGCCAGGACTCTGCAACAACTCACCCACACACTCCCAAACACAGGAGGGGCCTCGGCTCAGTGGCAGAGCATCAGCATGTGTAAGGTCTCAGGTTCAATCCCCAGCATCTCCAGTAAAATGGACCAGGCGGTGGGTGATGTGAAAGACCTCTTCTTGAGACCTTGGAGAGCTGATGCCAGTCAGAGTAGATGATACCTGACCTTGATAGACCAGTGATCTGGCTCGATATAAGGCAGCTTCATGTATTCCTGTGCTTAGGGGATTCTCAACCAGGGAAGGATTTAGATACAATGGAAGGGGGAGCTTGACTGCTAGCTCCCTTCGATCTGATCTCCCTTTCGATGGCATCTGGAAGCTGAAGGGAAGAAAACTGTCAGCTGGAGCTCAGTGTGATCCAGTTGTGCTCAGCTGCTTCCATCCCTCCTCCTGGTTCTGTCGTCATCCCCCTTTCTGTTGAAAGCTCACAAGGAGAAAACGATCCCACCACCTCATGAGGAGGCAGTGTTTCCTTGGGCTGTCTGGTTACCTGTTGTGCTGCCCTCCTGGTTGTCAAAAGGGTCCCTTCTATTGCAATAAGAACCCTCCCCCCCAGTTGTCATCTTCAGTCCCGCACAATGATTGTATTCTAACCCTGTGTCCTAAGCCAGGAAACGTCTGCCTGCATATATGTGTAGTGGCCCTGCTTATTTTCTTGCCTTTGTTTTTCAGGTGTCTGTGGATATCGGCAGTAGCTCAATCCGTGTAGCAGTGCAGGAGGGGAATGGGCAGCGTGTGCTCATGGAAGGCACCCTCACCCATAAGATCAACACAGAGAACTCAGTCTGGAGCTTGGAACCAGGGAAGTGTGTCCTTGTAAGTACTGCCAACTTTGCTTTCACTCTTAGTGTGTGTACCTGCACACATGCCTGTTCCAGTCTTACAGGTGCTTTTTCAGAAATCCTAGGTGCTTTAAGTTGCTTCTGGATTGATTGGGAAAGGCAAATGTTTTCTCTTTGAAGATTTTAAGGAAGATGCATTGCTCAGGCATGCTATCCAAAATTGATTGAATGGATTGCTTCTTCCCTGTCTTCTTTTTTTTTTGCTTTTTTCATCAGTCTTTGTTCTCCATTCCATCTTATTCTCTGTGTATTATTGCTGTCTTTGTTTTTGCCTCCTTTTACTTGTAAGGGCTTGTTTGCAGGAGTATTAGTTGCCTTACAGCATCCTAGTACATAAGTCCAGAAAAGATATTAGCCTACCATTCAGTTTGGTACATTGGTGTCTGGGGTGGGGGGTCATGGATGGAGACAGAATAAACTCTCTTCCAGTGTATAAAACCACCTCTTTTTGTTCAATAGAAGCCTCTTTTTCATTTGCTAAAAGCGAGTTAGTAACGGCTTTAGAAGCCCGCCTTACTAGGCAGTTGTTTTAGCCTTGCAAACTTGGAGCTTCCTGATCAACCCTTTAGTCCTGGGCCATTCTATCCCTGTCTTGGTTTTGGGACTTCTGTTAAACTAAAAGTGATGAATTGTGATACGATATATAACGGTGTATGCAAGCTGCCAAACACCACAGGAAAAAAGGACATCTGTCTAGTTTTTATGTGTCTAGTAACATGGCATGACCGCAAACTTGCTAGATAAGAAAGCTTGTATGGTTCTGCCATGTTAATATTTGGCCTAATGGCAAAGTGCTGCAGCAGTCCCAATATGCCACTGTGAGCTTTGCTGGGGGGGCTCCCTCCCCCTTGAGTCCTGGCACACCGGCAGCTTATTCTGCATGCTACCAAATGAAGGTTTTTACATATTCCCATGATTTCAGTGCTATACAAATATTATAGTGTCCTGAATGTCAAACAGGATTTGGTCCTCAGAGGCTGCTGTTCACCTGGCACTTGATCAGAACTGGATATAACTTATGTTCAGTTTGCAGATTGGTTTCAAGTAACAGATTAGATTACAGGAAGAGCATTTTGCTACTCAGTTCCTCTTGAACACCCTCTTAGCTCTGAAATAGTACTAGTGTTATGCAAGTTTCATTTTAATCGCCAGTCTTTTTTTTTTTTTTTAAATCTCTTCTCATACTCATTTTCAGATCTGGGTATGTAGCAGTGTGATCAGTTGGGGCCAGTAGGTTCTATTTAGATGTGGTGAAGATTTCAGTAAAGCTGTGTGTGTGTGTGTGTGTGTGTGTGTGTGTGTGTGTGTGTGTGTGAGAGAGAGAGAGAGAGAGAGAGAGAGAGAGAGAGAGAGAGAGAGAGAGAACTTTCATACGTTTATATTTATCCTGCAGCAATGCACTGGCAAGACACCCTCTGGTGTTTCAATGATGTCACCCATTTATTCTTGGTAGTTGTTCAGGCATTCTCCTAATGTGCTGATAGCCGTGTGGTTTGCCACTGAGTTAGGAGTCTCTCCCCCCCCCCCATTCAATTTGCACGCAACACTTCTGGGGTGATAGGCAAGAATCCAGGAATTGACTTCTGATTTTAACTTTCTGCTTCCATAATAGCTATAGGGACTGAAAACTGAAAGTGAGATTTAAAACTCTGAAGATGCGCAACGCCTATACCTGGTACTTGAATCTGTGCTCATGAGTCTATTTGCAGATGATAGGCATACCCCACGCCTAATCTCAGTGTTCAGTGTTAAGAGAGTGATATGAAAAGACTGGAGAAGCAGTTGAATAATAAGATGTAATGAAGAAACTCCTTCTCCATTCATAGTTTTATTAAGAAGAAGAAGAAGAGCCAGTCACAAGCTCTGGCACAGCTGTTCCTGAAAGAGCAGTTTGTGTCAGAGTTCTCTGAGCCCCACCCACCTCACAAGGTGTCTGTTGTGAGGAGGGGAAGGGAAAGGAGTTTTTAAGCCGCTCTGAGACTCCAAGTGAAGGACGGGGTATAAATCCAAACTCTTCTTCTAGTTTTATTAAAAATTGTTGCTTTTGCTGACCTCACCATTAATTTAGAGCTGAGATACTCAAGAACAGCAACATTTAATTTATAGGTGCGGAATCAGTGGCGGGATATTGTAAGCCTCGAAAAGTAATCTTAATATTTCCTGTCTCAATTAAAATCCTGCTAAGACAGAAAGGAAGCAATATAAACCACAGGGTGTATCAAAAGCATTTCTGGAGTTCCTCGGCCTCTGTGCCCTGTTGTTGGCCATCCAGAAGAACTGGTGTGAGACAGGATGCTGGACTAGATAGACTGTTGGTCTGATTGCAGGGCTCTTCTTATGGAGTTGCTTAAAGGAGTACCACTCTTCAAAAACTAAAGGCAAAGGGAGCAGACCAGTTTAAGCTCTGTGGGTCAAACCAGAGTTTTTGTGAGATAGTGCCCTTCCACTGTTCATGGATCCAGTTCCAGCTGAGCTTTCACCTCTGCCCAGTTACCAGTAGCCCTTTCTAAGGCCAGAAGAAAACAGAAACAAGCCATGGCTGGACCTAAGTAGTGTAAAGTCATAGGGAATAAAACAGAAGGATTTTTTTTTTAAAGTTTTTTCTGGGGGGTGGGGGATGAAACTTTCTGGAAACATAGAAAACCCTCAAGTGAGATATTAGTTTCTTTTAGAATGGGTGAATTGCTTTTTAAGACAGAGTTTTAGAATTGTGTAATATGTAAGATAATGCTTACACTGCAGAGTACATACATGCAAACTTTCAAGGATATGTTGATTGTTTAAAATGTAGCTGATTTTGTCCATAAATCAGGCATACTGTGTGCATGATGATGCTACGTGTCTCAAGAAGTCAGTGTTTTTGATATTGTTTAAGTCAGTGTTCTACAGTCCAGGTCCCTAATACGGTGGCTCTATGAAGTCCATGTCTTAGACCAAATAATAAACATTTTATTTGTTTAGTACATGAACACATGAAGCTGCTTTATACTGAATCAGGCCCTTGGTCCATCAAAGTCAGTATTGTCTACCCAGACCGGCAGCAGCAGCTCTCCAGGGTCTCAGGCAGAGGTCATTAACACAGGGCCAACTTATCCTTTAGGCACAGTAACAAGGCCAAGGCCCCTGATACTTTTATGGGCCCATGAAAATGTTTTAATTTCTTTTAGAATCAGAAGGGGGAAATGAACTTTTAGGTTCGAAGAAAATGTTTTAATTTTCTCTGACATCAGAAAAATATGAAATTTTAGGGTCTGTGAAAATCTATTAAACTTTGCCTAAAAGCCCTGCTTTTACATCATCTACTGCCAGGTTTTTTAACTGGAGATGCTGGGGATAGAACCTGGGACCTTCTGCATGTCAAGCAGATGCTCTACCACTGAGCCACAGCCCCTCCCAAATATGTTTATCGAACCCTTTCTTCAAGTGATCCCCGGGTGGCATGCTTTTGTCTCCCCTTCTTAATCTTACCTTTGCAGCAGCCCTAGGAGGTAGATTGGACTGACAGAGTGCTAGTGGCCCAAGGTGAGTTTTATGGCACATGGGGATTTGAACCTGGATCTCCTAGATCCAGTCCAACATTTCAGAGCACTGCACCATGCTGGCATTCTTTTGCTTACTAGCAAAAACTAAGGCATGTTCTTAGGAAGACTTGCAACAGTTTGTAGCAGTCTGTCTCCTTATTATTGGGTAAATTTGTACTGTTGTTTTTGTTTTTAACTTTCATAAATAATACCTTTCTGCGTGGCATCAACATTTGTGGAAATTTTAAACCTTTACCCCTTAATCTATTAGAATAATTCTATTCATATTTACATCTTAAATTGCCATAGCCAGTGGTGGGCAAACTCCTTAGTCAAGAGAGCCAAATATCAACAGTACAATGACTGAAATTTATTTTGAGAGCCAAATTTTTTAAACTTAAACTATATAGGTAGGTACATTGTTATTAACTTAATTAGGGCACTCCTAAACTGGCCTTTGCTAAAAATGTCCTCAATCTGATTGAGATACGTTCGCTGAGGTCGACCCCTTCCAACTCTCCCATCCACACTCGTCTTGTATACTTGTTTCGTCTCCTTTCGTTCAGCCTCTCTATATGTCCAAAGTATCCATAAAATTAAATCATGACAAACACTAATGTGAACAATGGCCTTGCATCTCCTTGGAAAGTTTGGGTAAGTCAGGTTTGTATGTTGTTGTTTTTAATTTTAGGCATGCACTAGACAGCATCAATATGTATGGCTTCGCTGGACCAGATTCAAGGTTCTTAGCTAGCAGCTTGTTCCCAACTGCAGCCTTCCAGAGGCCTCTGGAAGCTCAAAGAGCTGTTTGCCCTCCACCATTCTCTCAACAGCATTTCATATTAACAGGTTCAGTGTCCCTGAACGCAAGCTTGATTAAGTTCACAATACATTTCATCTCTACAGGTTCCCCCCCCCCAAACTTCCCACCCACATCTTGTGGCAGTGGCTTTCACAAGTTAATTGGGGGGGGGGCAGTTTTCAGAGGCCCGCAACAGTCATCCTTCCTACTGAGTTCAGCTGTTTCAAGCACGCAACACCGAAAGCCGAGTCGACAAAAAGTGGCCACTCAAAGTTCCCTCTAAGCTGACTTAGTGTGGGCAAGCTCACAGTTTTTTAGCCTCCGGCTCACACATTTTTGTCTTAGCTTAGGAAGGATGGCTCCAGAGCAAACTCATTTATGCAGTAGTAGCCAAATCGCTCGCTCACAGCTTTCATGCCAGGAGCTCACGAAGTAGAATCTTTGCTCACAGGGCTCTACAGCTTGGAGTGAACACTGAAACATCACAATGGGCAAGTA